AAAAGCAGATTTACGATGAAAAGGCAACCCATTGGAAATTAAGTTAGAGATGGTCAGTGATGCACGAAAGAAGAAAAACCAAGAAAACGGCCTAGAACCCGAGAAATGGGACCCCTTCCTTGCCCGTTGATTTCCGCATTGATGCGACTCTCATCGTGCTGCCCTCTTCAACGCTAACGCTCTCTCTGCTAAACGGCTAGAGGCTCAGACAGCGAGAGGGGGCGTACCGCGTCGATAGCGCGCCAAAGCGCCTCGGGGAAGGCCATGCTAGATCGCCGGGGCATATTCACCGACACGCAATTCGCAGCGAAAGACATGCCTCGGACGACCTAGCATGCCTCCCTCCCCGCGGCGCTATCGGCGCGGTACGCCCCTCTCGCTGTCTGAGCCTCTAGCCGTTTAGCAGAGAGAGCGTTAGCGTTGAAGAGGGCAGCACCGATGAGAGTCGCATCAATGCGGAAATCAACGCAAGGAAGGGGTCCATTTCTCGGGTTCTAGGCCCTTTTTCTGGTTTTTTCTTCTTTCGTGTATCACTGACCATCTCTAACTTAATTTCCAATGGGCAGCCTTTTCGTCATAAAATCCGCCCTCCAGGTGCACAAGTTTCAAGCGGTGCCGCAAAGTGCAACTGGTTCCTGATTTGCTGTGTTCAGAAGGCAGGCAGTTCTTACGAAAAAAGAATAACCAGAGCCGTAATGACTTCAACAAATCAATAAAAAGAAAATAAAAGAAGTTTGATGACGGAGCAACTCTCCAAAGCAATTCAAGGATGGCGAAGCAGACGAGGTTTTCAAACAATCAAAGAAAGGAAATCGGTCATTTGGAACGCACACAATCTCGATGAAGGCATAATAGGCCACTCGAAACGTAAAGCGAAAAAATCTTGCAATAGAGAACTCACGTTTCGGACATTCCTATCGCGGGTCGGCGATGCCTCAGCCTCGTCCCTGTCCACTACTGCTTGAAAATTCACTATGAAAGGGTCGAAAAGCCGCTATTGAAGAAGAAGAAGTTATTAAATGAAATTAGCGGCACGGATTATTGATATCTTTCGCAAGGCATGAATCTTCCGGCTGAGATTCATAGTCGGAAGCTCGATTCTTTCATAGCCACATATTCGCCATGTCCGCTCCTCAGTAAATTGAGCTTGGAAGGACTGAGGAAGTGGAATCGTCGGGACTCTGTAAAGCAAATAAATCTTCTAGCGTTTTGCCTCAAGTCTCTACTGCGTTCCACCCTTTAGGACCCGCCTCTATCTGCCAAAGTTATGTATTGTGTACTGGAAGTACGGTGGAAGCGCAGCGACGATATCAGATAAAACAGACTGTTGCGCCCAATGAATTAACTACTAACCTACTTACCTTCCTACTGAGCCTACCTACTAAATTAACTATTTCATGAAAGGACCTCGGGTTGAAGTGGTCTTCAGTAGAAAGATCAATGCTTGCTGGAGTTTTTGGAGCCTGATAACGAATCTGCTTTCTATACGCACAACGAAAGTGGAGAACATGTCATAAGCTTCAATTTTCACAGAATGCATAGAAAATGTGGCAAATGGACAAAACAAAATTCAGGTTTTTGAAATATGGTTTGGATCCCTTGAAAAGCAGACAACCTCTGTCGTTTTTGTGGCTTCTCTTCGAAAAAGGTGTAGTGATTTGCCACTTCATTTTTCGCCCGACCGTACTTCACTTGCTATTTCGAGAGCTATACTTTTCTGAACGCCGACATTATCGCGAGTTTTTGCAATGGGAAATAAGGTGAAATGAAGCGAATAATGCCATTTTCACCAAGGCTGGTAGATTATAACATATCCACTTTCAGGATTTCAGAACTGCGATGGGTACTGAGGGATAAGAGCTGAACTTTAAGTCTCGAAGAAACAGACAAGTAACGAGAGTGAGATGTGCGGGTTCAATACCCGCCTAGGTCCAAAAATTTGCCCATAACTCAGCATTCCAGGCGAAAATAACAGGAGGATTCAAAACTCCAACATCAGTTCCACAATTCTGATCGCAGCACAGCAGCATCCAAGAAACATTCCACTTTCTTTTATTGGCTCCCCCACTTTCTTCACGATTTGGGGCGCGGCCGCGGCAAACCCGCGGCGTTCGCGGCCGAGTAGTGCGGCATCAGCTTGCCTGAGTATTCGACGTTACATTACGTGTCGTTACGATCGGATGAACTAACACGTAATGTAACGTCGAATACTCAGGCAAGCTGATGCCGCACTACTCGGCCGCGAACGCCGCGGGTTTGCCGCGGCCGCGCCCCAAATCGTGAAGAAAGTGGGGGAGCCTCTTTTATTCAGCGCCAAACTACGGACTTGTTGTCTACTCATGCTGAAAAAAAAACCGTGGAGAGTGACTCCTACAATTCAAAAGGAGACACGAGCAGATTGATGAAATTCAGAATCAGCCTTTGATAACTTCCCATATGTGTGGTGCTCATGGAAATGGGGAAGTAGGTCAATATTTATTTTCGTAACCAAATAAGGTTAATTCTTATGCAGATGGAAGCCAAACAGGAATGGTATTCAAGACATCAGAAGGGAATACTGCAAGGATAATTTGCTCTGGTGTTTGTCATCGCCTCGCCGCGTTTTTCAAAGGAAGCAATTATGGTAGAGGGGGAGCGCATCAAGGAAGTATACGCACCACACGATGTAGTAGCTTAAAGGCAAGATTCGGGATAAAATAGGTTGCTCAGTTATGAAACCTAGAGGTGGGAGGTGCTCTGGAATAGAAAATGGCAGAAAGCAAAACGAGACCACCGATTAAGTCCCTTACAGAGACCTCCCCTATTTTCAGCCACATTCCACCTTGGGATAGAGAAGAGGCGAATTGGACGAGTTTCACGAACCTAACTCTACTTGCTCCAGTGCCAATGACATTGGATCGCGATGGGACCGCTGCCTCAAATGCGCCCGCGCTTTTCAAGCAGCGCCACGTGGCAACCGACAGCGAAGGGTGGGGCTTGCGGACGAAGGTGTGAGTTGCGGGTTGGACGAGCTCCTTGCGCCTTTGTCGCGCTTTCAAGCGCAAAAGGGGCCGCGACATCAACACTTGTCACCTGCCTACTACCGACTGCATGGGACAGGCGAGCCCGAAACACGAAACAGCGGAGCGTGCCTAGGCCGATGTCATAGTTTGCGAATCGAGCGATTCGCTAGCGAATCGCTGGATCCGAGCGTTGCGCCAGCGAATCGAACGTTGCACCAGCGAATCGAACTTTGCGCCAGCGAGTCGAACGATGTACCAGCGAGTCGAACTAGGTACCAGCGACTCAATAGTGGCGGGACCCAACGTTTAAAGGAAGCCCGCCACTTTCAAACAGTGTCACGTGACACGTGGACGCTGTTTGAAAGTGGCGGGTGCTTTTAAACGTTGGGGGGTTCGCCGCACACTGTTGACGTCGCTGCGTTACTAGTTTCGACTCGTCTGGTCATGCAAAGTTCGATTCGCTGACCAACGCTTCGCGATTAGCGAATTTGCTGCGAATCGCTCATTCGCAACAAACTATGACACGCCTTTAGCTGCCAAGGAAATTAGGTGTGTGTGACGCTTCACGACAGAGGCGGTACATGAGCACTACCTGAAGCACTCACGCCCAAGAGCGATCGCCACTAAATAATTTAGTAGGTGAATTTAACGGAAAGTTGTGTTTGCTAGCACGCACAACCGGAGAGCAACTAGTCAATTCTGAAACTTGGTTTGGCATGGCACCACCAAAAGGCGTTACGGCAAACTCGTCCATACGTCCGCAGCCCGAGCCGCTAACCGTCCGTGAGCGAAAATCAACGGCTACATGAAGATGTCCCTTTTCGCACTTTTTCTGACGGATTCTCGCTCCTACAGACCCTGTCAGAACCTATTCATAATTACAGCTTCAACAAGTAGCTATCAGAATGAGAAGATGAACAGGTTTGTGATGGGTATCGGGACAAATCGGGCAGTAACCAGTTTAGCAGCAGAAGTTGACGAGTGAGGTGGACCATCAGAGAAGAAAAAGGGAAAACCAAAGGGTGGAAACGTTGAAGACAGCCCACTTTTTTGGCGGAGGCTATGCTAATGGTAAGAAATAGATAATTTATGGGATAGTAGACGCAGACGAGAGAACATACAAGGGAACGAGAGCACGTTAGGTGAGCGAGACGCGTATAGCGCATTCACAAACGATGGCGTGTACGGATGTATGGGGTGTGCCGATAAAGCCATATGCCCGTTGCGCAGCTTCCACAATGTTTTTTCAAAAAGTGCCACACCTCTGCGGTTGCGGACATAACCATGCCATTCACGAAAGCAATTGTGTCAGTGAGCTCATCACAGATTGTGTCTTCAAACAGCAAGAAACAGTTTCAGCAAGACATCATAGAGAAAAGAGAAAAACGCTTTTTTTGAGAGTGATGCAACACAAAACACAAATCACTGCCCTCTCCTGAGCACAAAAGAAAAAAAAACACTAACAACAGTCGTTGTGATTCTCAAAAAAAGGTGATGGATTGGGAACTTCAAGAAACACAGATAAATTTCAGTGAGAACAGGAAACTCAAAGAAAAACATAAAATAAAGAAAAAATGCAAAAGTTTGCTAATCTAGACTATTACCTAGGTATCGGTCCATCATCGCAACTGGTGGAGGGAGGTTGGGGTGTGGGATCACCCTTAGGGGACGGCAGTTGTTGATAGATTTCACTGCAGGGAACTTCCACCGAAATCCTAAATCGAAATTCATGGAGACGAACGCAGCTGAGAACAATTATATAGACAAACTTGAACTATTTTGCTAACTAACAAAGTGCTCAGCATTCAAAAAAGGCCCTCATTGAAGGTGCAGCTATCGTACCTGGTTTGTTCACGAGGCGGCTTTTCCGGAGGCGTTGGTGACAACCCCGGCTTTTTTGGCGGAGGTGGAGGAGGTGCCAAGCGAGGACGTGAGCTCCTGAAAGAGCGCCTTTATGAGAAGCAGCGTCTGAAGCCCTGACAAAATATTTGATTTTGGAGTATTTTTCACGTAATTGATGAAATTTAGCGATGGGTGGTGTTGATCAACAAAAGCAATCACGAAATTTTCTAAGCTTGAAAGGCAGATTGTAGCTTTACTAGTGCACATTCGTGACGAGGATGGAATGAGCATGAGCTCATTTCCTTGCTTTAGGTCAACTATTTTTGGGCGAAGTTAAAGCATTTGCTGTTTTTTGACCATATTTACGCTCTCCTCCCTCCCCCTTCCCTCAACGGCATTTATGGTGGAACTGGTGATGTATCGACTTCCAGAAAAGCCATAGCGGTGAGGGGCAGGCAGATTGGGAAATAATAGGCGTTTTTCCGATCCATAAACTTTGAATGGAGTGCTACTCTACTTCGCTCCCAACTCTTGCTTTGTTGTGAAAGGTGCGCGGTGGTTCCAACGTTCCTTAGTCACAGCGGTGAATCCCCTGGCTGCCCACGCCCATCACCCATGGCTATCCCAGATGCTGATCCCTCGTCATCAGACCCCAGCCGTTTTAGCAAAGAGGCAGAACAAATTGATCAGAATATCGTCAGCACCAATAGATTCGTTCAACGAAGAAATCAACAGGAAAAACACGGGCCCATGTTCGATGCTTTTA